GGAAACTGAAATAATTTAAGTTCACAGTGTGTGATGGAGCCAGGAAAAGTGGCTACATTACCAGCCTCCAAATGATTTCTTACAGAGGAAGCTGCCATCATGGTTATTTCAGTTTATGCTGTTTCCTCCTGAAATTGTCCCCATCATCAGAGCGCACCCACCTCCTGGGAAGACTTGCCCTGCTCCTGTAGCATGCCAGCGCAGTTGTACTGTGGCCTTCACTGTGTTCTACGTCCACTATCTGGGGCATGTCTGTTCTAGAAGAGCTCTTGGTCACCTTGGTATTTTTGTTGTCTGTACAAATGCCAGCACAGTGTAGGAATACTCAGTCATATCTAAATGAACAATCAGACATGATACCACAGTACTGTTGTCCTCCCATTACCATGCTGTTTGAAGGATTCTGCACACTCCTGGGGACTGTTACAAGGTAAGGTTTTAGTGACTCTCCTGACCTGTGATCCCTTCTGTTTCCTCCACAGCACAAGGTTCTACAGAGATGAGTTTAGTCTTCTTCCCTCTCCAGTCTATTCGGTGTCTACCCAGTAAGCCTTGCAATAGAAAGAAGCCACACTGTGGCTTGGAAGACTGAACGCTGGGCTCCTTAATTTGGAGTTGGCTCTAAATCGGCATGTTGTCTCCAAGGATACTGTGTAGCCTGAGGAAACAGTCAGCTGTAGATGAAGCCTCTGAAGGCTAGCCAGACCCCTGTGGTTTGGCAGAAGGAGAGGTCATTGTCCCAACCAGGAAGTGGTCTTGTGGTCCCATTGACCCTAGTCTTTTCCAGACAGAGCTGGGACTCATACTAGCTCAACTGGCGATTTCCCAGGGACTTACAAACAAGTCTATTTCTCAAGAGTGCTAGAGATCCCTCCCCCAAGAAGGCTCCTGCTCCAACTCCACAATCTTAGCATTGTGTGTCCAGAGAACTAAAGGATTTATTGGAATGTTGATGGTAACCAAGCAAGTACAGCTTCTCATCATTCATCCGGAAGAGTGGTGGTGGTCCCCAAAAGTCCGTCAGAGCTTGGTTGGGCTCAGAGGCCCATCAAGAGAGGTAGAGCTTTGCTATGCTCAGGGAAGGTGGGCACAAACAGGGACTGTTGTCTGTATGCAGCAAAGTCATAGGCAACTTAGAGAAATTCTAGGGGTTAACCTAAGGCCTAACTTAATAGATGATCTCAGCTTGGACCCAGAGACCTTTGGGCAGAAGGTATTTATGCTACAAGTTCATAGAGACAGGGAAAAGCTGAAGGACACTCTAGCTTCCTTGGAGATGCCACCAATTTCTCAGTATCCTTAGGAATAGTAACTTACAATGGCTTCCTGGAGGAAAAAAAATGAAACTGTAAGCAGATTGTCACTCAGCCTGAAGAGCTTTGGATTTAGGCTAAGGGTCACCGGTCCTGCAGGCAGTAGTTTGATATGTGAAGGGAGGCACGTTTAATGACTTTTTAATGTAAAAAGTGAACTAGAGATCCTTAAGGCTGCGTCCTAAAATTTATTTCATTTGGGCTGGAGAGATGGCTCAGAGGTTAAGAGCACTGACTGCTCTTCCAGAGGTCCTGAGTTCAAGTCCCAGCAACCACATGGTGGCTCACAACCATTTGTAATGAGATCTGCACCCTCTTCTGCATACATAATAAATAAACAAACAAACAAATTTCTTTCATTCGACATTTCCTGGGCAAGTTCATTCTCACTATGGCCTCACTTCCCACCCATGCATTGATGAATGCATACTTGTTATGTTTAGTTTCTCAGTCTAATCCTTTAACTCAAATTCCACACTCATGGACCCAGGTGTCTGCTTGTCATGTTGTCTTGGATGTTTTAAAAACACTCAAACTCAATACACCTAAAACAAATTTATTACCATCTTCAGCCCAAACCCTGCAAACCGTCCTATAGGATGAGATACACACAATGCTGGTACCTTTGTCCCTTTCCTTTCTAACTCACCCATTAGGAAGGTTGGTTTCCAGGTTAGCCTCTGAAGTCTGAATCTTCCACCTTCGTCTACCCCAGCACTTCTACCCTGGCTCCTATTTCTTATTTAGGTGAATGCAATCATCTGGTTTCTAGGCATTGATCCCTTCCAATCAGTATGCCACAAGGGGCCTCCAGTATTTCTTTCTTCCCTGGCTTATTCCTACTTGTTATTCAGATCTCAGCTCCAATGTCACTTCCTCAAGGGAGACTCCCTGGTGACCTCTCTGAATAGGCTGGCTGCTTTGTGCCACTAGTCATAGCTGCAAATTTATATTTGGGCTCCACTACACTGAGCTCCACGACAGAATCGAATTTTTCTGTTTTCTTTTTTTCTTCTCTTTTTGGCCAATACTGCATTTATGTTTTACATCTTTAAATGCCAGTATGTAATATTTATGGAACGATTAATGTCATATTTTGTTTACATCCTGCTCCAGCCTAAAAAAAGGTAATCACCACTTCCTACTGGGCCACCATTATCGCTTTCATACATTACTGTATTATTATTTGTCTGTCTAGAACCTTCCTTCTCCAGTACATTCTCTAAACTGCAGCCAGAATTACCTTTTAAACAAGCAAGTCCAACTGATGAACCAGCCTGCTTCCATCTTAGGCTTGAAAGCCATCTTACAGTAAAGACAAGTAAGGTTCATTCCTATTTATGATTAAAGCTGTTTCTCAAGCATTGGGCTGTGCCCCAGCTGTAACTTTCACTACACACGGTTCTGCACTGCCTGATCCAGGAAATGGCAACCATGTCTTTGTTTCAAAAAGTTGTAATGACCATTTTTGCAACCCTACTTTTGTTTCAAAAGGTTGCAATCACTACCTGTTGTTATGACTACCTTGTTATGACCACCTTGTTATGGTCTTTGCCTGCCAAATCCCCCTTTGGAAACCCCATACCCCTGAGCTATAAAAACCTTATCTTCCCCATGTCCAAAACTGACCTTCTGAACCCCTCCCGTAGGGAGAGACAGCCTGCATACACAAATAGAAAAAGTTTGCTTTAATTGCTTGCTTGCTTTAATTAATTTGGCCATGATGATTTGGGTCGGTAGTCTTTTTCAATTTGTGTGTGTGTGTGTGTATGTGTGTGTGTGCGCGCGCACGCGCACGCGGTTTTTCAAGATAGGGTTTCTCTGTGTAGTTTTGGTGCCTGTCCTGGATCTCGCTCTGTAGACCAGGCTGACCTCGAACTCCCAGAGATCCACCTGGCTCTGCCGTGAACCATCGCCACCCGGCTCTCCTCACACCTCTGAGATTAACACAACCACTTCTAATCCTTCATTATTCCCAATAAAGTCCAAACTCTTTAACATGACCTCTTACCACGCACACTGCTAATGGCTACTATCCTCTTGCTCCTTAGTAGAAACCCCTGACTGGTTGAGACAGTAGAGTGCCCTAGAAAAAGGGGTATCTAGGCTCCCCCAGATGTGTTTTTCAGAGATGTCAGCTGGTACTGGAATCTAAACGCACTGGCAACTCAGTGATTTGAAAAGGTTACCGTCTTTCCAAAAGCTAGAATCTTCTCTTCTAGAAAATGCTGTGTCAAAGCGTCTATAAAATGTCTAAACGCAAACGTTTTCTGTTACCAAATTCTGGGCAATGAAACAGAAGGGGTTACCACTTCTCCCAGCTTTCAGGTGAGAGCAGACCCCAGGCGGGGCCCTCTTTGCCCATTCTCCATTTCTTCTCTCGTTTTCTGCAGTTTTCAAAGCCACGCTGGCTGAGGCTTTGTCAGCCATCCTAAATATGAGACACGGGCAAGAACTGATGTCATGTGCCTTGGGTGGCTAGGGAAAACAACCCAAAAAGCCGCTCAGTGCTCAGTTCCCATGGAGCGTCTCCACAGCCCCATGGTTTGGACTTCTATGAGGAAATCATTTTGTGTCTTAAGTCATGATCTTTCACTAGCTGTCAAACTGAAACCTAACACAGGCTCCAAAGCGTTTCACAATCTGACCTTGGTCAAGTTGACCTCTCCCTGTATATTTTCAAATCCAACAATTTATCCAAACTAAATGCTTTTTAGCTTCTTTACGCTAGTCTCTTAGTCTTTTCTTCTTCTGCTTAATTTTATTTTTTATTTTTTTTATTTATTATTTTTTTTTTTTGGTTTTTCGAGACAGGGTTTCTCTGTGTAGCTTTGCACCTTTCCTGGAACTCGCTTTGGAGACCAGGCTGGACTCGAACTCACAGAGATCCACCTGCCTCTGCCTTCTGAGTGCTGGAATTAAAGGCGTGCGCCACCACCGCCCGGCTTATTTTTTATTTTTGAAACAGGGTCTCATGAAACCCAGGCTGGCCTCAAATGTCATGAAACCACAGCTGTCCTTGAACCCGATCCTCCTGCCTCCACCTTTCAAGTGCTGTGAATACATGCATGCATGTCCCCACATCCAGTCTCTCTTTCCATCTAGTGTTTACAAGCTGCAGCTTCTCCCTGGATGGGACCCCCCCCCCCCTGCCCAGCTTGGCTTCTCCCTGGGTGGGACCCCTCCCTCTGCCCAGCTTGGCTTCTCCCTGGATGGGACCCCCCCTCCTCTGCCCAGCTTGGCTTCTCCCTGGATGGGACCCCCCCCGCTCTGCCCAGCTTGGCTTCTCCCTGGATGGGACCCCCCCCCCCTCTGCCCAGCTTGGCTTCTCCCTGGATGGGACCCCCCCCCCCCTCTGCCCAGCTTGGCTACTCCCAATTGTCCTTCAGATCTCAGCTTAAATTATTTCTTCAATTTTGTTTCCTGATACCAGAAGAGGACTTGATCATGCTACTTACTATACTGTGAATTATAATTACCTGATTTTCTCCACCACAGACAGTAAACTCTGTGAAAACAATAAAGTACTTCATCTTACTCAGAACTCTATTCCAACTGCCTCGCAGAGATATTAAAGTCTTACGTTTTTCTTGACTAGATGGAGTAAATGAATGATGGAGATGTGGCAGAGGTTAGTTAGTTAAGGACGGCAGCTTTGGTAGCTTTGCAATGAAGAATGAGCTGAAATGAGTGGTATATTATAGTTTATTATTTGTACTATAACCTCTTCCGAAAAGGACTTCAAGAGGCAGGATTACTGCAGTACAACCTCACAGCGTGCCAAGTGGAACTCCTCAGAACTCCCTCAGAGACACTGACTTAGGAGACTAGTGGAAGACTACAGGGCCATTTGGGGGCAGGAGGGTACTAAGAAAGCAGTGGCATCTTGTCCTACCTCATCTTCCCGCTTCTCATTTGGAAGTCCTACCACAGAGGAAAACCACTGGTGGGAGGGGTGTAGCAGGAGGAAGTTAGCAGAAAGCGGGGGAAGGCTGAGTCTCAGGTCCACCATCCGCCATCCTCTCCTCCCTTTGCGCTGATGGCCAGGAAAGTGTCCGGTCTTCTCCATGTGCTCTGCTGGGCCTGGGACCTCCTCCCACTGAGAACAGCCAGACTGATCAGTCTTCAAGAGGTCCACTGCTAGCTGCAGGGTCCAGGCTCTGCCCCTCCATCATCCCCATCCTCCTCATCAGACTGTGCCAAGGGTGTGTCTGCTCCCCCATCACTTGGATTTGGACTGCGCAGGTTGGACGAGTCAGAGGACAAGGAGGAGGTTCGGGATGTGGTCCTGTCTGGCGTGGGTACTGGCAGGCTCAGCCCCTCTGGATGGCTGTCCACTCCTACCCAGAGAGAAGAGCTGGTTAGGACCACACACAGGGCTTTAGAGAACTCAGAGATGTATCTGGCCAGAGAAACTGAAGTACAAAGAAGGGTGGGCACCTGTCCAGAATTACTTCCCACGCAGTAAGGAGCCAGGATAGGACCTCCAGCCCCTTCCACATCACTATACCATCCTATGTGCTGGAATCAACCCAAGAGCTCAGGCTCTACCTCACTTCTTCCTGAATGGCTGTAGGCAAGTCATTTTCCCTATCAAGGAAGGACTCTGTCCTTCCTGTGAAAAGGACACCTACATTTCTAAGTTTTTACAGTAAAATCTTAAGAATGCCTGTCGAACATCTGAGGCCATCGGAAAATAATAGCAATTTGTTTTTTTGCAGACAGGATCTTGTTCTGTAGCTGGCTTCAAACTCACTATCATCCTGCTTCTGTTTCCTGAGGCCTGTCATTAGACGAAGCTAGAAGTCTCGGGAGCAGTTTTAAGTAAGAGTATGTGTCTTACATGTTAAGCATCCAGGATTGGGAGCCAGATAAGAGTTTGAATACCAGCTTTTCCACTTCCTGCCTATGTGACAGAACTTCTCTGAGCCTAATTTTCTTTTCTTTACAGTGCTAGAATCAAACTCAGGGTCTTGTACCTGCCAGGCAAGCATACTGTGTATATTATGCTTCTGAACTCAATCCCTAGCCTCTAATTTGGAGACAGGGTTTCTCTGTGTAGCTCTGGCTGTCCTGGAACTCACTCTGTAGATCAGGCTGGCCTCCAAATCACTGAGATCCATCTGCTTCTGCCCCGAGTGCTGGGATTAAAGTCGTGTACCACCACCACCCGGCTTCTAACTTCTTTCTTTATGAAATGAAGAGTCTACTCCCTATCCTCATAGAACATTATAAAGATCGAGAAAGGGGCTAGAGAGATGGCTCAGCAGTTAAGAGCACTGGCTGCAATTCCAGAAGACCTGGGTTCAGTTCCCAGCACCCACATGGCAGCTCACAACTATCCAGTTCCAGGGAATCTGACACCTTCACACCAATGCACATAAAATGAATTTAAATAAATCATTAAAAAAAAAAAAAAGATCGCCGGGCGGTGGTGGCGCACGCCTTTAATCCCAGCACTCGGGAGGCAGAGCCAGGCGGATCTCTGTGAGTTCGAGGCCAGCCTGGGCTACCAAGTGAGTTCCAGGAAAGGCATAAAGCTACACAGAGAAACCCTGTCTCAAAAAACCAAAAAAAAAAAAAAAAAAGATCGAGAGAAAATATGTGCAATATTAAGAACCCAGTAAACTGTTTGGTAAAATTTAGTATTATGACTAAAACCGCTTAGGTTGTCTAACATGATCATTACATTTTACATTATTTTAGTTATGGTAATTACATGAATTTCACAAATATAAAAATTTAAAAGCTAGATTAGTTAGCCGTTCCTAGACCAGTTCCTCCTGGGAGTCAACTTCCCTAAATCAGAACAGCCAGTTGTTTCTCTAGCAGAGACACACACTTCCAGCTTCTACTTAAGAATCTTTCCTAGCTCAGATGTGCAACCTCATTTCTGGGCCCAAATATCCAGTTCTGGCCAAATGGTACCCAGGTCCCCAATGCAAAGAGGCATACCAGACATCTGGGGAGTTGGTGGTGAATCCTCACAAGGCAAGAACACATCTGCTCCATCCTGATCCGCAAGGTCAATAAATTCCACCTGCTCCAGTGTGTCCACATTCACCTCCATGGACGAGATGCTACCTATGGGGGCTGCAGATGAGAGAAAGCTTAGGGCAGGCGGACCAGGCTAAAGCTGAGAGGACGGTCAGACTTGCCTGTAAGGTCCCCATTTCAGTTTACTGGGCCACAAAAACAGGAAGGGAGAAAGCCCCCAAGATTTGAGAGCCAGAGGGACATCTTCCCCAACCCACCCTAATTCTACTCCTCAGGACTGGAAACTCACGTCTTTGTGACTCGAGATGCAGATGGGATAGCGGGAAAACGAACTCTGTCTCTGGCTGTAAAATGTCCTCGAAGAATTTCTGCCGTTCCCTGAGACGCAGCTGCTGGCGCTCCAGGGCTGCTCGCGGATTTGGGTCCATGTCAGCCCCTGGGGGGTAAAGAAGTAAGACAAAGACAGTTGTGGGGATGAGAGAGAAAGACGTGCGGGCTTAGGCACCAGGAGCCCTGTGGGAGCCAGCATCCTGGCCTTTGCCTCCAGTCTGGAGAGCGCTGGCCTTGGCAGCCTCTTTCCTTCTGTGAAACAAAACTCATCCCACAGACTTCAAGCTCATTTAGAGGAAGGGCCGGCCCTGGTTCCACAAAGGGGATGTCAGTTCCAGGCACCGCAAGAGCCTGCTGTTAACCCAGGCTGCCAATGGCTGCCTAACTGCCGACAATGCCCTTCTGAGAGGCCGGAGGGGCTGGCCACTTCATGGACCCCGCTCCCCTCAGAAGGCCAGGGAATAACAGGGTGCTGCAGCTCTGGTTCTTCCCACCCCTTCAAAACCCAAAGAAAGACTCCAGCAGCTTTCCTCCCCCACACTTCTCTTTTTCTCCACACACACCATCACCATGATCCTCATTATCTCCAAATCCTTTCTCTGAAGGCAAAGACCTAAACTTCCCGGCTTGCCTCTGGCCCTGAGAAAACCATCTTTCTGGCCCCAGGTTCCCACCTGAAGGCATTATCCTACCTACTTGTAAAACTGCATGGCAAGACTCCATGAAGGAAAGCTGTTTAGAGAACTGGCCACCTTTCCTCCTCCTCTCTCACACATCTGTCTGGCTTACTACCTCCCCTGCTACCAAGTACCAACTAGAAGGGTGGGGCCTGGGTAGTGCAGACCAGGCCTCTGGACTCCCAGTGCTGAATTTTGCAGACCACCACAGCCCTGTACGTTCACTCTCATTCCTGGTACACTGCTCTGAACCCATCCCCAGGAGCAGGAAAATGTCTAGGGTGAGGACCAAATTGTCATCCTCCCAAAACCTCATCTGGACACAGTGTATCCCAGCTCTTGGCCAGGTCTTCAAGCACTGGGGTAACTCATGAGGAACCCAAGATCAATGAGCCAGGCATGGCCAAGGAAGTGCCAGGAGCTGATGTGGCCGCCGGCTGGCCTTGGAGAAGGGAGACGCTGACACGGACTCCAGAGAAAGACTCTTAGAGCTGCCGCCCAGGTCACAACGCTAAAAATACCCAGGGCCCCAGGGGCGGTCTGCGGAGCTGCGGGGAGGGAGGGCGAGCTGCCGAGGACGGGGGCAACCCGGACGCCTCTCTCTTCTCCCCTCCCCCTGACGCTGTGGTCTTACCAGGTTGAAGAGATTGCCCACCAGGGGCCGCGGAGCTGAGATCGGGAGCTAGGTAGTTGTTTACGCGACCATAGGTACTAGGAAGAGTGGAGATTTGGAGACAGGCTGCTGAGACCCAGGCAGGAGCCAGGAAAATGGAGAACGCCCTCTGCCCCGGCCCCACCCGCGCCCGAGGAGGCAAGAGGCAAAGAATTCCCTAAAAGGGGACCGGCGCGTGGGCGAAGACGGGGCGGGCGGAGGAGGGCGCCCCGCGTTCCCGTGCTGCGTGGTCCCGGTCCGCCACACCTGATTCCAACCCGCGCACCCCCTACCTGCAGCGCCCGCAGCCCGCTGGCTCACTGGAAGCGCTCCCGACAAGCGGCGGCGGGGGCGTGGGAGCGAGCAGCGCCGGCCGGGTGGGGCTATGCCTGCGGGGCTCCCTGGGGACCGGCGGCCCTGGGAGCCGGGAACGAGGAAGAGGCGGGAGGCGGAAGTGGGGGCGGGGCGGGCACTCGGGGCCGGCGGCGGGGGACAGCCCCACGGAACGCCGCGACCCGGACTTGCGGGGCGGGCGAAAAGTTCCCGCACGCATCCCTCCTTGCTCGGGCGGTCGCGACCGCCTGCGCGGTGCTGCGCGCGCCCCGAAGCGCTTGCGGCACCCCCGCCCAGCGCACGGCGGCGGGCACACGCGCCGGCTCCGGCCCACGCACACTTGATGCGCTCCGACTTGCGAGCGGCGCCCACGCAGCGACCACGCGCACGCACCCACTGCCCGCCTCTCCGCACCTCGAACAACCTGGCCACGCTTACGCGCGTACTTTTCCAGGAGGTGCGGGATGGGGAAGCGAGGGTCGGCTGCCGCCCAATGAGACAGGTGCATTGCGGCTAACGACCCCGGGACCTTGGATTCCCTCAGCTGGCCCCAGGACCATACTGAGCCGCCGCCCTACTGGTCAGCGCACTAGGCGGGTCTGGCTGGGCTGGAGGGGATGAGCCGGTGCCGCACCCTACACGCCGGCAGGGAGCCAACACCTCGAGGTGTTAGCAGAGATGCCAGACGTCCGGCCAGGCGTGGGTGGCGGTCCAGATGGAAACTGCCCACTTTACAGCACCTCCTGGCTCAGACCAGTGCTAGCAGTGTCCAGTATAGCAGCTCCTGGATTAAGCCTGTTCCCTTTTTTCTTCTTCTCTCTCACCCATCCCCTTGCTGTCTGTCTGTCTGTCTGTAGGTCTGTCTGTGTGTGTTCATTAGAAATCTGTGTTGGGGGTCAAGCTGTCTGGAAGCTATCATCTCCCTCTCCTTTGAAGCCCATATTAAAATACTCCTCCATGTCAATTCTGTTTCCTAAGTATCTTTTCAATCCACCATTCCTGTTTCTACCACTCTCTGGCTTTGGCTCCCACTGTAGTAGCCTCCATCAGGTTCTCCTGTGTCCTCTCTAGTTTAGCTACATTCTTCACACAGCAGTCCGCTTGGACAGTGCAGAGCACAAGTGTTCTAATCCCCTCCTTTGTTAAAGTCAAATCTAGGCTCTGGTGTGGCAAGTCAGTCTCTCTGTCTCTCTTCCTCTCCCTCCCCCCTCCCTGTCTCTCTCTATGTCTCTGTCTCCCCCGACCCCCCACCCCCAGGGTTTCTTTGTGTAGCTCTGCTGTCCTGGAACTTGCTAGGTCGACCAGGCTGGTCTCAAACTAAGATCCGCCTGCCTCTGCCTCGCACGTATGTTTCCACGCTCAGCTTCTGAGTGAAGTCTTGAAAAGCAGGGAAGAGGAAGGGCATGGGCAAAGGGATGGCTGTGAGAAGCATGATGATTGGGTTCCCCTACAGAGAGATCGTACTCCAGCAATCCTAAGGCACTGGCTCTTCTGTGACGAGACTTGAGAAGAACCCTGTGAAGTAACTACAGCAAGCAAGTTCCTCCTCCGCGAGAGTGGAGCTAGTTCAGGGGCAGCAGTGAGTGAAGGGGCTGAGAGTACGGGTACTGATTGCTGTCAGACCCCTCTTAAGACGTAAACCTACCGAAGCTTCTGGCCACCTCAGCAAACACATCTCCAATCCTCGATCCTGTCCATTAACTAGGAATAATTAATCCCCCCTCTTATAATTCATACAAAATGCTTAGTGCAGGCCTCCGGCTACACTGGAAATGCTCTCTTGGTTGGGATGGGTTCTGAGAAAGGGAAAGAGCTGCATCCTACCATGTACTTGTGACATTTAGGAAGGGAGTCCTAATTGTCAGCACTTCTATGGAAGTTACTGGTGTCAGGTGCTACAATAAGTGCTTTACATATATTAACCCTTAATCCTTGGAGGTAAATGCTAGTATGTCCACTTTACACACAGACAAACAGCTGCAGCGAGGTAGAGGAACTGTTCAGGGTCCTCCAGCTAGTCTGTGGGCCTGGGCAGGCCGCCTCCTGAGACGGACGGCTGTCACCACAGCCCCTGGTGTGCTCTTTTATCCTGTTTGAGTTTTAGTCTCATTAATGGATGGAGTCGATACTTGGTCTCATTTCCACCACAGAAAAACGGGGCCATGTCTGGAGGACGGGGCTGGAGCTCAGCTACCGCGGTCACATCTCACCAATTCACACCACCATCTCCCACCCCTGCCCCATTTTCAAACTCATCTCTGGAAGAAGGACTCCAGAGACTTTTTCTTTCCCTTCTTTCCTTTTCCTTTTTTTTAACTAATAAAGTGCAGTAGTAGAAGGGAGGAGAGTATAAACCGGGAGTTCAGTCTATAACTGATTGTAATTGGTTGGTCCACAGATTATTTTCAATCAAAGATGATGAAAGATTAGGGATGTCTGTCCCTTCTTGTTGCCAGACACCTGCCAAAAACTGGTTGGAAGAGTGGGACATCCAAGGTGAAATTAATTCAGTGAGCTACACTGGAAGTGTGTCATCCAGAAGAATGACCCAGGCTGGCAAGGAATGGAACGGCCAAGAGAGTTGAAAAGAACAGTAAAAAGTAGATGGCTTGATGCTCTGGCTTCCAGCTGGGATGCAGAGACTGGGAAGAGCATTACCACATTAATGACAATTGGACAGTCTTCAAAGCTTTTGTCAACCTTCAGAGAACTGAGGTTGCAAAGAAACTAGTTAACGTGAATTCCAAAGAACAGGAGGCCCTAAGAAGACACAGAATGCAGGCACCGATTTCCTTCTGAGGGGATATGAAATCTCCATGCATGAAAGTATGAAGAATTAGAAGAACTAGCTAAAATGTTATTGAACTGTTTCGGCCCACTGTGGCTCAGACAGGGGCAGATGATCTGTGGGAATCCAGATGATAGAACAGTGACAGAGACAACTCGGTCCCTCACACCAGTGGCCTAGCACAAGACAGCAATTTCCAGGTACAAATGGCATTGTGCCTACCATCCTATGTCCACAGACTGGTCAAAAATCACAGTGCACACATGGAAGCATTTTTTCAAAAACCAAAAATGTGGCACACACCTGTAATCCCAGCACTTGGGAGGCAGAGGAAGGTGGAGCTCTGAGTTCAAGGCCAGCCTGGTCTACAGAGCAAGTTCCAGGACAGCCAGGGCTATAAAGAGAAACCCTTTCCAGAAAAACCAAAACCAAAAACAACAACCCTTTGTCAAGAGTCATAGTAATCAGGAAGACCAGACCTGAGGCCCAGATGTTGTAGCTGTCTGACAGAGATTTAAGAGAATGATCATTCATGGAAAGCTCTTGTGGAAAATGTATACAATGTAGATGAGCAGAATTTTAGCAAAGAGCAAGAAGCTATCTCACATCATATGCAACACTAGAAACAGACATGCTCAGGATTTGAAG